TTTGCAAGCCTGAGGCAAAATACCTCTTGGATTTCCCCCGTCAGTTGCTTGAGCACCTGCATGGCTGTATAAGAAGAGGTCTGGCTTCTCTTCTTTGGGGCTTTCCGTCGCTGCCTCTCCACTCCATCTGTTAGGGCTTGTATCTAAATGTCCCTCCAAAGCCTTGCGTGCTCATACTGGGGCTTCTGGGAAATAACCGGATCATGGATGTGTGATACTGGGTTAAAAGAGTGGGATAGCTGAATTAGTCCATTGGTTGGTTAAGCACAGTGCTGGGTGTAGATAATGGGAAACCTCACCCTGGGTGTGGGTGGCACCAGCCAATAGGCTTGTAGCCTAAATGGAATAAAAAGGGAAAGAAGGAGGAAGCCTCACTTCTGGCTGTTTCCTGCCTGCCACTCTAGGAAACTTTCTCCTCTGCCATTCTGCCCCGCCTTGGAGCCAGCTGACTGTGGACTGAAACCTCCACAAATTGTGAGCTAAAATAAATCCTTCCTCTTTTAACTTGTGAGTGTTGGGTATTTTGTCCCAGCATGAGAAAGTAACTAAGACACCAGCCCCACCACCAATGTCCCAGGACCCCTAGGGGCTGACTCAGTCCCAAAGGTCCAGTCTTGCTTTTAAAGTAACTCCATGTAGTGCCTATCTAGCAGAATTCTGACTTTCTCCGCCCTGCCTATCTTATCTCTAATGGTGATTTCAAACCCTCAGCATCTGGCTCTTTATCTAGCATCCTCTGGGTGTGGAGTGAGACAAACCAAAGCTTCTGCCCCCTCATCTTCTTATCTCAGCCACAGTCCCAGCAGCAGAGGGACAGAAACTCAAAGTTACCAGTCAGCTGCAGGAGAGAATAGAATAAATGGATTATTTATAAAGATGTGGGCAAGATGAAAGGAAACCACAGCAGGTGCAGACTAGTGACAATAAAGAGCTGTCACCACCCAAAGGGTGAGGAAAAGGGGAAGGAAGTGGTGACAAGAATCCAGAGATGGCCAGAGCAGAAGGAGGGGCTGCCGGCTGTGGCCTCCAACCCCTCCCACAGGCAAAGAGCTGGAACCGGTGGGCCCTGCGGGCTCTTCGTCCTGCCCTCTGGTTTCCTGCTGGTGCCCACTGTGGGCTGAGCTGACCGCAGCCCAGAAGGTGAGGGAGCTCCAGAGACAGGGTTCCTACAGATCAGTCCCCAGGAACGGGGCAGAGTGGACAGAAAGGAGAACAAGCACATTCGGAGGGACAAGGAGAATATTCAGTGCACTGCATGGATTACAAAGCTAAGCATCAGCAGAGAACTAGTCTGGTTTCCTGAGGTCTCACCCTGGCCCTGCAACACGGGCCACAGGCGACTGGCCCTGGGTGTTGTACTCTAAGAAAATAGCTTCGTTATATGTGTATTATAGCAAACCTGCAACGTGGCTTACCAAATGTGTTTTTTTATCCTTTTTCCCTAACTGATATGTTAAGTGACCTAATTGATATGTTGAGCAACACTCTCCTCTGTAAAGGATTGCAAGAATCTCACCTAATTGATATGTTAACCATTGTTGCCCTCTACAAACTACAGAAGTTGTGCTAAAACAAGCTAACAAGGGTTGTTAATCACTGTTAGGCACCTCTATTCTCCGCTAAAGAGCTAAAGAAAACTAGAATGGCCCATTAATTTACACTTGTTTAAAGTAACCTGCTTGTGTGCAGAAAGATTTGCGTATGAGTTTAACCCTTTACCCTGACCTTGACACATAACCGCCGTGTTCTGTTCTGTATGGCGCCTTATTGCCTCCCTCTCCCCTCACCTATCTATCTAGGCCATAAAGAATTTGCATTTCTGGTGACCTCTTCCCGACCCGGTGATGATCTGTCATAAAATGAGCCTGCCCCAATTTTAAGAACTGAGAACTGTTTAGGTTAAAAAAAAAAAAAAAAAGAACTGTTTAGGTTCAAAGAAATTACCGGGAAATACTATGGCCCAAACCCCAATCGGTGCTTTCCTTTTGTTCTGTATGCATCAAATGAGTTATATATCAGATCTTTGTAAAACTTAAGTTTCAGCTTCTTGTAACTCTTGACCCCTTCGCACCCACTAGCGAAAACGAGCTGTCCTGGGATAATTAACTCTCCACTTTCTTCCCTAAATATTGCTGCAGATGTGCCACTCCGAGATAATGTCAGTCTGTAGGTGGGAGTAATTTGAGAAACACCAGGAACTCCCGAGATTGTCAGAGCTAAGTGGACAGCAATACAGTTTCCAGACTCGGGTCAACAAGTTTGATGGCTCTGCAGGTTTCTTTGTTTCTCCCTCCACCCTTTTCCTCCAGCCTCTTTTTAAAGTCCTCCCTTCAGTCTCTGGCACACAGTCTCCAAATTGGCTCCCGGAGACTTGTCACCAGGCCTGGAAATAAAGCCTTTGCCACCTAAATTTTCCGTCTCTTGTTTCCTTGGATTTTATACCGGGGCACGAGTTATAACACTGGGGCCCAGAAAAAGCAAACACCCAAAATGCATGGACACAGAACAAAACAAGAGGACTGCGCATTCCTCCCTGGTTCCTAGTGCCTGTTCTCCACAAAGCATGCATATGGCTTGTCTTTATGAAAATCTCCTGATCCCATACAAAACAGTCGCTCTTTTGCATAGGCAGCTTGAGGCAGTTTCTGTTTGTTGCACCCGAAGAACTTTGGGTATACTTCATTTGAACAAAAAGACCCTGGATCTCACTGAATTTTAGCCCATTCACCAATCCAGAAATTAAGCACCCTTTCCCTCTGTTTTACAGACGAGGCCACTCGGGACCCTTGCAAGACTAGATACCCTCTGTCAAGGGAGCTGGCACTTACACGAGCCCGCCTGACTCCAACGCTGCAGGATTTCCTAGCTGGCCTGCTGGCCAAAAACAACTTCCCCCACCAGAAGGGAACTCCACCCTCAGCCCAGGCCTCCAGTGGGGAAATCAGCCCCTCCACCAGCTTTTGAGCTGAAGCATGCTGGCATTCTGCTGAGGTGCTGGCAGGCATCACCACCTGAAACCTACTTGTGGGGCAGTGGACAAGAAAGGGACTGACCTTGGACTTGTAAAACTGCAGACTTTTTCAACCCTGTGCCTTTGACAATGTTGTAAATCCTGTGCTAAAGACCGAGGCCAGGACTGGCTGTGCCCAGGGTCCCCACACGGCCCCTGCACCCAGCCATTCACAGCTGAGCTCTGGGAGCCTGGATGGCCCTGGTCACCTCTGAGGCCCACACCTTGCCTGCTTCTCCACCTCAGAGCAGGACAGTAAGGAGAGGTAATGTCTCCGGAACCCGCAGTGGCAGGAAGATGAAAAGAATCTCAGAAATGCTGTGTTTAATTTAAAGCAGACCTAGCCGGCCTCCGCCAGGCTGCAATTTCACTCAGAATAACCAGTTTGTTTCTCTTGGACATTCCAGGAACCAACTGGCCGTCCCCTGTTGGGACCCAGCAGGAATGTTAGGGGGCCGCTCTCTGGGGGCCACTTGCCGTCCCCACTCTCCCTCAGTCCTGCCTGTTTTGAGGTGGAGTCAGGGTATCTGGGTGGTCACCTAAGGCTCCCCTTGGCCTCATGCACCCAACTTGGTACCCAGAGTTCTGGAGATGAGGAGTGGTCACAGACAACAAAAGCGACATGGTCTCTATCAACATCATAGGCGCGTGGCCCGCTGGGTACCGCGCTCAGTACTTTCTGTTCCGTATATTGTCAAACCCTTCCAACCATCCAGTGAGACAGGCGGATTTTTATTACTCCTTCCGCAGAGGGTGAGGTGGAGGGCACGGAAGCTTACACAACTTGTTTGCTCTCCCTGGCTTGCTCACCCTCCTCCTATGCCCACCCTCCCCAGCCTACTCAGCTTTGGGGTCCACCCGCTTCAAGACTGGGGGCCTTCTTGGCCATTTTCCTACCTGCGAAGGGAATGGTTTAGGGGACAGCAGGTGGCTGCTTATGGGACAGAGAGCCATAGTCACAGCCTTTCCTCCCCGGGGCTGCCACCCCCACCTGGGGTTGGGTTGGGCTGAGGGTTTCCAAGCCCTGTGGGTTTGGTGCTTCCAAGGCTCTGCTGGACTCTAGGGGGTCCCGGGTTCCGGGTCCCAGGCCTGGCCTTGATTTTGAGCAAACACCTTCCCCTTGCCCTGCATTTCCTCTGAGAATGGCAAGTAGGGCAGGAATGGGACTGTGACACAGGGCTCCGAGGTCCCCGGCCCCTTCTGACCCTGACAGTCTCTGGTTTTATTCCGTCAGGATTTAAGCAGCTCACCCTTAGTCCGGGGAGATGTCGGGGAGAGAGTGGGGGGCAGGCAGGGGAGTCACTTCTGGGGACGTTTCCAGGACTTGGGAGAGGAGAAAAGAATGGGGCGGAGCCTGCAGCCAGCGCCAGGCGCTAGGTGGCCCCAGTGGATTTATTCCAGTCCTCACCCAGAGCCTGCCTGGCCTTCACAGTGCTGGCCAGCTCAGGACATAAGGCCGCCCAGCCAGACAGTGGAGCTTCCGCTTTTCATCCTCTCAAGGAACTGCTGTGCGTGGGGCACCTTTGGGATCCCTCCCTCCCTGTGCCTCCTCCACATCAGCGCTCTGGGCAACTGAGAAATGAGCTGTTAGCCTGGTGCGCTGGCGCACACTCTGGGAGGCTGAGGCAGGAAGATCACATGTTCCAGTGAGCCTGGGCAACGTAGTGAGACTGTATCTCAAAATACAAAATAAAAACGGGCTGGTGATATAGCTTAGTGTAAAGGCCCTGGGTTTAATAACTACCCTACCCCTAAATAGGAAAAAGAAAAGAAAATAAGAAGTTAAGCGCTCTCTGCCTCATTGCTGTGGTTGCCTTTGATTTCCTGGGGAACACGGTCCAGGTGCAGATCCTGCCCCAGCTGAGAACTGTGGCCTCCCTAGCCTGGGCAGCAAGCCTTGCTTCGTGCCAGGGAAGCTGCTGGCAAGGGGGTTTCTCAGGGAGAGGCTGGCTCAGTGGACAATGGGCTCAGTGTGGGAGCCTGGGCTCCCGAGAGAGGTTTCCATGGCACCCAGAAGCTGACTTGGCCGCAGGGTCAATGGTCAATGGGCACATTGTGTGGGAGTCTTGCGTGCCTCTCTCCCCTGGTGTGGGGGAGGATGAGTATGAGGGAGCCGATCTCTCTGACTCCACAAACGCACCCCCCACCGACCTGCACTGTACTGTGGATGGCTTGTGGGTCCAGGCAGCTTGCCAGCCTCCTCTCCTACCCTGCAGGAAGAGTGGGGCTGGGTGAGGTCTGATTCAGGCACAGTCTTCAGGGCTGTTCCTCTGGAGAACGGAGCAGAGAGACGAAACAAGCCCATGGCTCTGTCATGCAGTTATCACTAGCTGTGACAGCAGAAGTCTACCTGTGTCCCTCGTAAAGTCTTTGTAACAGGCTGGTGGGTGCAAGTGGGTGATGTGTCATGGTGGGTGGAGTGGGGAGGAGAGACCAGGTGAGGGATGACAGAAGCAGGGGCCGTGGAGGGAGACATGTGGGTGGAAGCGACACACAGGGTGGAGGGACCTTAGCAAGGACCCAGAGAGCTGGGGGGAGGAAGGGAGGACTAATCCAGGAGTCCTGAGGAGTCCACCCACAGCTGGCTGGAAAGTGTGCAGACCCAGGCCACGAAAACAATAGTCCCTACTCACCCTGATTTGCAGCCTTTGCTGGTTTTCGTGAGGTGAGTAGTCTTACTTTGGTTACCATTGTGAAGGTGCTGGGTGTGGGGAGAGAGCTGACCCCTCTGCCCACCTCGAACTCCGTTTGCAGTGGGAATAGACGTGAGAGCAGTGATCCCAGACAAACACCACCTTGGCGCTCAGGAAGCACAGAGCAGGGTGACTGGCTTCGTGGTGTTCCGGCTGTGCCACCCAGAGTAAGTCACATAACCTCTCTGAACTCCAGTTCTTCCTCTGTGATAAGAAGGGGCACAGTGAGGATTAGGCAGGCTTGGTGCAGCACCTGGCATGGGCTCTGCCATCTGTCAAAGTGAGTGCCTGGCAGTGTCAGAGTCTTTACTCTGCTGGGAGAAACTGAGAGTGAGTAGTCTTTCTCCTGGGACTCTCAGGAACTCTACATGAAAGTCATAGGGTCTTTGTTTCTCTAGTTCATCGGTGACCGACATGAGATGGGCAGAATAAGAAAAACTTAAATTAGTGCTGTACACTAGCAAAAAGAGCTTCGTTATGTTTATATGACCAAAGTACCTATAAGGCTGCCATACTGTTCTGTATGCGTTTTTTTCCTCTCTGGGTGACCTAATTGATATGTTAATCAATGTTCCCCTCCATAAAGAATTGTAGATCCCTAGAAACCTAACCTAATTGATATGTTAACCATTGTTGCACTCTACGAATAACAGATGTGGTGCTAAAATAAGCTGACAAAAGATTGTTAATTACTGCTAGATTTCTCTGTTCCCTGCTAAGAGAAACAAAGTTCTTCCTCATTAGCAAATTTCCTGATCCATGCCCATAACCCCTTACTTTGTAAACTGTGATATGTACATAAAGGCTGCAAGTATAGAGGAGCAACATACAGCTTTTGCAAACTCTAACTGCACTGTGTGGCTGGGCCCAGGATAAAATAAATCAGTGTTGCTTTTTAAAATATATTTTTGCCCCATTTTTTTGAACTCGAGTTTGGGGGCTCATTTGTGGATTATAAGAATCATTAGCTTTGCATTCTCTCTCTGATTCTCCAAGTTCCTGGGAGATGGGTAGCTGCGGCCTATTTAACAGATGAAGAAACTGAGGCTCAGAGAAACCGACCTCTCCTCAACTTACCTGATGTTTCCTTTGCAGACCCTGAGTGCTGAGTAACCCATTCTCCAGAACAAATGTGCAGACTGTCAGAGGGCAGGGTAGGGGGTGGTGGGGAGGAGTTGCCAACCCGACACCCTGCAAAAGATGCAGGACTCAGTGGGGTCAAAAAGGGAAGATGTGTGAGCTGTTGCCAGGATGATTAGTTCCTCTTTCCTGTTCTCCCTGGGCCACTTTGGTCCTGCAAGGAACAGACTCTGAGATAAAGATGAGAGAACAGGAAGTCTATTGCGCACTCCAAAGTCCATCCCTATTATTAGGGTGGGGGTTGGAGCCCGCCAGAAAAAACAGGAGTGGACAGCGGGAGAAAATGGGCTTCCACATGGGCTCAACTAAGGTCTCAGTCATCCATCGAGATGCCTGGAGCAGGGTGGCTTCTGAGGGAAGCCCTGAGTTGGGACAAGTGACTCCCACATCAGCAGCTCATTGCCTTTGAGCTGCCCTGGGTGAGGGGGGATGAGTCATCCCCAGACTTCTGGCCACTTCCTGTCTGTCTTGGAACAAGTGGGACTAGCGTCTCCACCAAACTCAGCTTCCCTCTGAGTCTCAGAGGATGCACTCCTGAGAGAGGCAATGCGTCTGGCCTGACTTATTTTTCTGGGCCAGGCTACAAGGTCAAAGGCCAGGGGCTGACCCCTGAGTGGCTGCATGCAGGCAAATTCTACAAGATTCTCAAAGCTAAGGATGTTGTTTTTGTTTTTATAGTGGGCCTGTGTAACTTTTGTACTGGGGTAAAAATTATGAGTACTTCAAAACTGGCATTTGTTCACTTTCCTGTCTATGTGTTGTGAGGAAAGGTGAGAGATGATACTCTGGTGACACACAGGAGGACCGTGGGACAGAAATCTAGGGGCCTGGCCATGGGTGAGTCTGTCACTGCTAACACTGGAAGGTAGGTGGGTGGGGACTCACAGGTGCCACGTGGAGCAAGAGAAGTCGGGCACAACTGAGTACAAATCCGTTTCTACGGTGTTCAGTAGCAGGCAACTCCAGCCTTACTTAGGGGCCCTGAACGGCTGTGGCCTCGGGGTGCGGAGAGTTTCCCTACGGGGGAGCAGAGGGCTCTGCTGGGGTGATGGTGACATTGTACAGGTCAGTCTGGGGCTGCTAACTTGGGGGTATACAGTCGTGCAAAGTCACTTAGTGATACACAGTCGTATGTGTGTTAGTACATAGGTGAGACTTTAATTTTTGGGTTTTTTTTTGGTACTGGGGATCGAACTCATAACCTTGCACTTGCTAGGCAGGCACTTGTGCCACTGAGCTAAATCCCCAGCGTAAGACTTTAATATTTTTAAAATGCAATTTTCAATGGAAGTGATTTGCATTTTAATGGGCATCTAAGCCAGTAGTGGCTGTCATGACAGTGTTTTTGGCTCACTTATAACGTTTTTCTAAAAGGCCAAGGGGAGCCATGAAGACATTCGGAATAGGCTTTCCATTTCGGTAGGCTCTCAAAGTTCCATCTGCCTCTGATTCTCCTGCTTCCCAGACCCATTAATATCCTGTTCCATGTGCTGGGGGCTATTTTTAGAGCTCATTCGAGAAGAACTTCCTCTCAACTCAGCATGATGCCTACTTCTGTCTGCAGAAGGAGATGCTGCAGGATTCTTTGGGCTGTCTGATCCGAGAGGCTGAGGGTCTTGAAGATTCTCACATCAAACACAACCGCTACAGAATATTAGGAACATGCACATATACAAATAGACACATGCCCATATATGTCTACAAGGGATAGACTCTAGGACACTCAAGTGTACCCAGATCTGTGCATACTTCAGTCCCTTATATAAAATTGCATCTCATGTGCATATAACCTGTGCACATCATCCTTTGTACTTTAAATCATCTCTGGGTGACTTGTAATATCTATTACCATGTAAAAGCTATGTAAATAGTTATTCAGTGCACAGTTGGCTGAATCTTCAGCTGTGAATCCTACAGGTATGGAGGGCTGACTGTATATGTGTGTGTACCTGTATGTCTTTGCATTTCAAAAAAAAATTTTTTTTGGTGGTACCAGGGATAAAACTCATGGCCATGCACTTGCAAGGCAGGTGCTTATGTCGCTGAGCTAAATCCCCAGCCCCATTTCAAAATATTTTAAAATGATTTTAACAATTAAGAAAATAGGATATGAGCAGCCTATATTATTTCTTGACAATTCCTATGTATGCCTTAAGAACTTTGCAAAAGAAGGAAATGTTACTTTCAAATTCTTTTGTAAATATAATGAAATTTTCCACCTACTAAATGTATCATTTAATGAAGTTGACATTATGATCGACTTTATAGGCACTTAGTTAAAAGTACATTCATTTTGATTATGCAGTTCTCTTTTTATATTTTGGAGTAAATTAATCTTCTTTCCCAGAACTCAGACTTTTCTCAGGAGGACAGTGGTCATCCTGTAAACAAGAGTGGGCTAAGGAGTAACCTTGGTGGCCAGATGGACAGGCCACGACCTTTGGAAGGCACAGAAGAATGCAGCTGGGCTATGCAGCACAGGTTGTAGGTTGGGGACAATGAGGATGGATGGTTTTGGAAGAAACAGGCCATTTCCCCAGGAAGTGGCAAACATAGTGCTTATTTCCAGTTGTGGTGATGAGGAAGAAGTCTTTTAACTCAAAAGACGCTGTAATCAAGCTCTACTGTCTGATCAATGATCTTGAAAAGTCTTCCCATAGGACAGACTTGATGAGCTGACCTGGAAAGATGTTCTAGATCAAGTCATGTGAAAGAGGCAAATCTCACAGCACAGAAAATAGTAAAATGCATGCTGTGATCAAAACTCCAGTGAGGGGATTTAGCTCAGTGGCATAAGCGCCTGACTTGCAAGTGCGCAGTCGTGAGTTCAATCCCTGGTCCCGATAAAAAAAAACACAAACCTCCTGTGAGTAGTTAAATTTTTAAAATGTATTACAGTAAAAGACACATTGCTATTAAACCCCCTCAAATACTTTCCCTCTTTTCAAGCACACTTATCCCACTATTCTTGCCATTTTCCGAAGCAGTTCTGGATTCCTCTTTCATGAGTGTCTTGGTATCCCGAATTGTTTACTCTTCCTGGTCATTTTGACTTTGGAGAAGAGCCAGAAGTTGTGCGGTACCAATCTGGTGAATAAGATGGGTGGGGACACGTTGTCCCTCATGCGTGCTGAACAGCAGCATTCAGTGTACTTTTGATCACACCTTGTAAAGACACTCACAAAAGAGGACTTCCAGAGCTACTTCAGAAAGTGCTAAGAAAAATGGGCAAAGTGCATGCAAAGTGAGGGGGATTAATGGCGATATGTCTTTTACCGCAATGCTTTTTAAAATTTAAATATTCACTGTATATTTTGATCACACCTCATATAGTATGTATGAACACACACACACACATCATGTTCACCTATGCCAAAAACACAGATAAAAACCTGGAAGATTGATCTGGAGACCCTGACAACATCCAGGAACCTTCAGCTTCTTCAATGAGTGTGTACATCCATCTCTTGATCTATTTAATCAGTCTTAAAATGGGTCAGCCCATTCCAAATGCTCACCTCACAATTTCAAAACAAAGTTTCTCATAAGAAAATAAGAAAACTGTTCTAATCTAGTTCTAACCAATGCCTCCAGGCCCACTGGAAGCCCTGACCGGCTGAGGGGACCATGTACATCCGGTGAATTCACCCTACCCAGCCAGGGATTTAGCTCAGTGGCATGGCATAAGTGCATGCCTGGCAAGCATGAGGTCACAAGTTCAATCCCTGGTACCAAAAATAAAAAATAAAAAAATTCACCCTGCCTCCAGCCACAATTCTGAACTTCTGGATCAGGGAAGGGGCCCCCAAAAGGCAGGCAGGCATATCACTCCACAATAGGCTTCTGTGTGTTTTCAAAGAATTAATTTTTTTCCCTTTTTTTTCTAAAAGTGTATAATTTTTTTTTTTTTTTTTTTTTTTGGTATCAGGGATCAAACTTACAACCACACACTTGCAAAGCAGGTGCATATGCTGTTGAGCTAAATCCCCAGCAAAATGTATAAATTAATCCTGAATAAATGAAATAA